ATTTAATATTGTAATTTAAACGGAGAAATTATAAAAATAATAAAGAAGTTATATTTTGCTTTACTTTTACGTGTATAAATATTTAAAGGGCTTGATACAATAATTTTCAATAAAAACTGTTTGTTACTATAAAAAAATGCACTGGACTACAAGGAACTTTCATCAGAAGCAAAAAAATACTTTTCTAAATCAACTTTTCACGTTGTTTTCAAATCTGCAAGTAGACATTTTCTATCATTTCTAATTTTTGATATTATTACTAATTACATATAAAATAATAATTAAAAGAAAAAAAAATTTGTTTTCAAATTATTACTGATTTGATTTTTAATATGTTAAAAATAATCAGTCCAAATTTTCAATTTTAACCTATTTTTTTGGTTCTTTAAAGTTGATGAAAAATTTTTGATAAAGATTTATGAAAGTTTATAGTAAAATAAATTGAATATATTACCATAACTTTTAGCNTAAAAAAATTGAATATATTACCATAACTTTTAACTCAATTACAATTTTAAAATTGACATCTAGGCCAGTCAACAAAGAAAAAATTGCGGAAAAAATTCCCAACCAAATTTTGTTTTTTTAAAAATTGAATTAAAATATGTATAATGACATACTAATAGTCCTCATTGATTGGAATTGAGCTTTTTTTTTACAGCTTCACAAAAATTCAAAAATATGAGCTTTTTTAATTTTCTCAAAAAATATTTAACTTATAAAAAAAAGTTTCGTACAAATGTTGTTTAAAAGACAATTATAAACAAAAAAATTATCTTATATTTTTTCATTAAAACAAATATTTTCGAGTTACATTACATTTAATATAAGTACTAAAATTTATATTCCATTTTTTTCATTTTACGGTTACTTTTTATCATGTTATACTTACATTAGACACAATGTTATAAATGCATATGTGTGTATGTGTGAGTTTATTTATTTATTGTATCATTAAAGTGTAGTGTATATTGAGATACAACCGATAGAGTAGGTAATTGATTTGACGCTATATTATTTAAACCCAACTAAACGCTNAGTTTATTTATTTATTGTATCATATGAGTGTGGTGTATATTAATATACAAGCGATAGAGTAGGTAATTGATTTGACGCTATATTATTTAAATCCAACTAAACGCTAAATTGTTCATTTCCAAACAACAATCATATTATGTCAATTGCCACCGGAATTTCTGGTAATATTTTTCTTTTTCTTTGCCTTAATCCCAACTACTTGGGGTCGGCCACCCTTATNTCCAACTACTAGGGATCGGCCACTCTTATCCTAAGCTTCTACTTGACACGATCTCCCTCATCATCTATGCTCACATCAGCTGTCCTCATGTCGCATTCAATAACATCCCTCAATCTCCTTTTTGGTCTTCCTCTACCTCTTTTTGCTTCAAAATTCATTTCTATAACTGTTCTTACAGCTTTCGATTCTTCTTTCCTCATACCATGACTAAACAATCTAAGTCTATTTTCTGTCATCTTATCCACGATTGACGCAACACCTATACTTCCTCTTATATGCTCGTTCCTTATCCTATCTTCTCTAGTCACTCCACTCATCCAACTAAGCATTCTCATCTCTGCTACACTTATTCTCTGCTCTACTTTCTTATCAACCGCCCAACACTATGAACCATACATCATAGCTGGCCTCACAATTTCATACTAAATTTAAAAACTATAATTAGTATTTATTCATATATTATATTTTAAAATCAAAGAACTACTAATCAGGATATAATTAAAGAAATAAGAGTTCATGTTGCTTTTAAAATATTTCACCAATTTCTCTAAAGGAAACACTATCTACAGATTTGCATCGAAGCGTTTCTTATGATAGTGATTTTAATCACTGTCAGATATCATCTATACTTGTCCCATCTATGCCTCGTCCACACTGTGCCTCGATCCCACTGTGCTACCGTTTTTTTTTTATTAATTTTGATGTCCGTTTTCACCATAAAAACAAAATAAAGTCCAAATTTTTTTTTCCATAACAAAGTATAATACATGAACTTTAATTTAAGATATATATAAAAGTGACAGTATTTCTGGAACACTTTCAAAAGTTAAGTTGAATAAGTTAATTTTGTATGTAAAAGTTGTCATTTTGTATCCTACCTGTGGGCAGGTAAAGGGTCAGATTTGGGCGTTCATCGTTTCCTCCAAAATTGACCGTATCGTTTCCGCCAAATCTGAATAAGGTCGTTTTTTTGTTTCCGCCAAATCTGAATAAGTACGTTTTTTAGTTTCCGCCAAACTGATCTTTTACCTGTCTATCTACTAAAAAATTTGAGAACCATTTAGCTTTATCCATGGTAGACAGCTTCCCGTACAAAAATTTTCGGCATTTATTAGTTATAGAATTCAATATTACGTTCAGGTCTGTATTTGTGATTTTTGCATGGGGTATTAATATTAATGAGCAAAATAAAGTAATTTTGTACAATATTTTTTTCCTATCGCCATCAATTGACTTTTGCCCTCCTTAACCACTCCCTAAATACAGTCACATCGTTTTGGATAATTGCTTATTTTATCACATAAGTTCACTTTAATAAACAAAATATGGCGTTTTATCAAAGATAAATAAATGATAATAGAAACTGTCTTAAGTATGTATATATATATTTTTGTAATAAATAATAAAAATATAGAGTATAAGAAAATATAGTCATCAAAACATTGAAATAAAATTCAAATATTAATTAAAAAATATCTAATATGTGTAATAATATTATAAAAAATAGATCTATGATCTATACATTTTTCTGTAGTTGTTGGAAACTAATTTCACGAATTCAAGTCGGCTAATTTCATTTTTATTAAACTTATCAATTGCCTCTTTTGTTTTATTGAAATGGATTTCAATTTTATTCCGTACACTTATTGAGATTGCATTATTAGAACTATATATTTTAATGTAATTATAAGATTGAACGTTTTCTATTAAATTTTTTAAAAATATATTCATAGAAGGATGTGCCTTATAAAATTGTTCATTAAAATTTGAATGGAACGATTTACAATTATTTGTTGCCGAGGGGTCCATCAATGCCCTTTATTTGCTTTCCTCAGAAATATAATTGTCGATTAAGTAATCAGCATACTCAATAAAAGCTGTTCCCTCAGGTATTGATGTCATGAAGTCATCAACGAAACAATCAGACACGTCTTCTGGATTTAAAAAAGTTAATTCGAAGGTACCTTTTAACCATTTACATGTTTTATATTATTCAAACCTAACTCTTGAAGTTTTTTGTACCAACTCTGGGTTAAGTGAAATCTACAACCAATTATAGTAATTAATGGCCACACAATTAGAGCAGCTTTGTGAATAGAAACTTCGAAATCGGCAGTTATATTTTCAGGATACACTAATCAATTTTTTTCAGTGCATTTATATTTTATAACCTCAAAAGGTTATATTATATTTTATATTTTATAAGTCTCTATAAATTTTATTTTAATAAACAAAAAACAAGTGGTACATAGTAATTGTTTATATATCCGTGAATGGTAAATAATTGTACAAAATGTTTTGGGCAATACTGAAAAGTTCCGTCTACATACATTGATTTGGAATTACAAAGAAATTTGAAGTTTGTATCACAAGAAAAAATAATAATATTTTTCTCATGATCGTTGTGTAATAAAAACTGTTCTCCGCGCGTAGTTAATATTTCTTTATTATCAGTAATTGCATGTAATTCACTTATACATTCTGGATTAATAGGAAAAAATAGTCGTCTAGTGCGATAAATAGTTTGTCGAATACATGACACATCCATTGTCGTAAAATTATTATTACTTAATGTTTGAATTCCCCCTAAAATTATTTTTTGCGGTCATTGGTAAATATCGTCTACGGCTTTACGTTTACAATTTGTTTATTTTTGTCTTATAATTATGGGATCAGAACAAGTATGTTCTATAAGACATATTAAAACTAATTTAAAATAAGGTCAGCTTTAATCAATTTAACTAAAAATTTAAAAAAATACCTGTTTGATCAATAATTTCACCAAGCTCATTCACGTGAATGGTACCTTTGCATTCTTTTACAAAACAACGCCAACGTGTGTTACCCGTTTGTATTGCTTTATATGCAAAACGAAATTAAAATTATTCAATAAATCATTTGTTGGCCCTGCTTACTTCTATATCAGAAGTCTATGTCATTTGAATATATCATTCAAATGACATTTTAGTTAAAAAAGTAAAATAAAAAAGAACGGATGGCAAAATATTTATCGATATACCGATCACTACACTGCTATCTAACTAACAATAATAGAATAGGAAAAAGTTCGATTAAATGAAAAGTAGATAATTATTATCCGGTTATTTTGGCAAATATTTTAACCAGTGGTTCTCAAGCTTCTATTTGTAGACAGGTATAAACTATCGGTTTGACGGAAACGGAAAAACGACCTTATTCAGATTTGGCGGAAACGATAATCTCCCTCAGATTTATAAAAAATTATATCAAATGATAGGTAAAGACATTGTGCATCTATAAAAAAAAATTATATTGATTTGGCATTTTTGAAAAAGTTTTGAACAGTTTTAAGTAAAAATAATTGAAAAAATGTCGAAAATAAGCGATTTTTAAATTTGTAATTTTTTTAGAGATTTCCCCCATTTACGGGAACGAGGAAAATTTTTTCAATTTTTGAGGGTAATGTCTTCGGTTAGATAAGATTTATGATATTTTGACGTATGGTTGAAAGAAATCGGTTCGGTGAGAGCTGAGAAAATGTGGTAAAAGACACAAAAAAAAAAATAATAAAAAAAAAACACATCATAGTAAAATTAATACCTTCTCAGCTTTGCATCGAAGCTAAAATATGTTTAATATTTCTAACAAAAATTAATAATATGAATATTATCTTGAAACTTTAATGTAAATTAATTGTTAACATTTTTTCTAGTCAATGTTGTTACTTCATTATTTAAAAATACACACACGTTGAGATAATGAGATAAACAAAATAATTTAAAGTCGCGATGTATATTTTGTATAAATTTACGTTTCTATTTACGTTTAGTATTTTTGCTAAATATCAGATAAAAATCAAGTCAACAATAACTTTTTTGAAATTATAAAAAATTAATTTTATTGGTATAGTTACATAAGAAAATATTAACAACTATTCATTGACAAAAAAATTAAATAATTATTTTATATTTGAAGTGAAATCCATATTTGACATATAATTGAAATTTTTATTTCTGATGTGCGCACAACTAATATACTTAATATGAAAATAATAACTAATAAACCAACAAGTCTAAAAATATAGACTCGATAGAAAATATAAAAAATTATTGATCTTTATTCTAGAATAAAAATAGATAATCTATAAGATGAAATAAAAATGTTTGGCGTAAAAAATATTTTAAGTTATAATTTTGATGAGATATAAAGTTTAAAAAAAAATTCTTTATATATTTACAAAAATAATATATTTTTCAAATCTATGTATACACAAAAACAATTTCCCTAAAAACCTAAGTATACAAAATAATTCATAATTTTTAATTACAACTTAAATAATAATTTATAATCACATTTAGACACAATTAATACAAAGCTCAATAGTTTTCTTTTTGAAATTTAATTAAATTATAAATAATATTGGTACTTATAAAAAATCTATATAAGTGTATGACACTTAAAAATAATAACGAATAGAGTTTTCAATACCATCTCAATTCTAATAATAATTTATGTTTGTAGTTTATATAAGTTTTGTAACTTGGTGGTAACACTAATAACGAGGAAATAAATATACTTTTATTAGCCTGCCAATGAATCCAAGTCTCAGTAATATTGACGGTCTAGTGCTGAGGCGCCACCTTAGCATTACATAAGATGATATTTTGAACATAAAAAACATGACACATAACATCGACAGCGATGCCCAGTAGTTAACATCGGACATACCTACAGTGTTAAACAACACACTTGGATCTTTAATTTTGCAGACATCTATTTCTGGTGGGCACACTAGTTTTCCTCTATCTTGATAAATAGACATGACAAGCGCCTCAACACCGTACCGTAGATAACTTAATCGCATGGCTAACTTGAATATCGTAGGTATTTGATCGCTCGTGTATCCCAAACCGTATGATGCCAACAATATTAACGGACATGACAAACAAGGACCCATGAAAACACTGTTCTGTAAATTCAAACAAAAATCATTATTTTACAAATTAATTATATTTAATTGGGTTTATATCGTATAATACTCTTAGATTATTATACTAAATGTACTCAATTAACCGAGCAATATTATACAAAATATAATAATAAGAATATTAATTTTATAACAATATAAATTAAAAATAGAAACGTTGTTATTGTTAAGATTTCTTTTATGAACTATAGACGCTCAATAGATTTTTATAATTCAAATTTATATGAAAATAGAAAAAATTCTCAAGTTTATATTTTAATTTGATATTACAACTCACCGTAACACTAAACTGAGATGATATGGCATAACCCATGCTTTCAGATGATAGTGCAACTATTACACACACAATAAAATATTTTAGAATACGTTCTATCTCCAAAGGCTGGTCAGTAAACCAATAAGTTAAAGATATATAGATGGTTGCCAAAGCGATCTTAAAAAAAAAATAATTAATTAATACTTTTATTCAAGTTGTAAATAACAGATTTAATGACTCGCGGTGATATTTACCTGTAAAGGTATTTGGGAGCAAGTGAGAGCACAAAAGTATGCATTCAATCCATACCATCGATTGAAATACTCTCGTTTTAACATCTGAACTTCAGTGGGAACTAAACATTATGAAAAAAAAAAAAACTAGTGTTTTTATTATAATATTATTTAAATACATTGTAATTACATTTCAACAATACTGGCATAAGTGGTATGTAACTGAAGATGATAACAGTTATATAGATGGAGCCATAATTAAATATAGTGTATGCTGCATTGTTTCCAAACTTGTAAAACATCCCACTGACCGTTATACCAAGTAAAAGGTACATTAAAAATTTGACTAGCAAAAATGACTGTAATAAAAAAAAATCTTTAATAAAACATGTTTCAATAGTAGAAAAAAAATTGTTTAATCGTTATATAGCAATATTCTATTGAAATGCCATTCACTCTCCAATGTTAGACTTAATTTTGAAAGGAAGGTGTAGTTTCTAATAATACACTTTAGCTTATTGCACAATAGAGATAAACATGAAGTATTGAAACTTTACAATCACCTTTACTCATAAATTTTGATTTAGAAACTTCTTTAATATTGTACTAGTCATAATTTTTGAAAATCATTATATTTGTGTGTTATGTCTTTAGTTAATAGCCGAGAGAAAATGACAATCAATTATACGACATACATTTAAACTTCCTGTGATAATTACCCAATAAAAGGAAACATTAAATACTACGTGAAAAATAAAAATACACATTACAAATAAGAATTGAACAATTGTTTTTAAAATAAAATTCTACACAGCCGAAATCAAAAATTCATATTATCAAAACATGTTCGCCAATAAAAACTCACATAGTCTCTTTTATTTTGGATCATCATTCGTCTGAGAAGAACACAGAACTGTGTCATGCCAGAAGCTGAAAAATCATACATTTTTTTGGACACAGTATCATACTGAGATGCAGTACGTTTAAAAACTTTTCTATTTTCAATCTTATCTCTGGACCACCTTAAACATTTTCCATTTTCGACTGCTGTTGTCATTTTATCGAGGTGGTCACCATATTCTTTACTGCAAACTTCGATCACTGTAAAATATTTATTTTAATATAAATTCATCACTTAAAGTAAATAAAAATATATGTTTTTTTAATCCCCCTTACTGTAGTCTGCTGGATTATAATGCATAGGACAGTTAAGACCTATGTGGGACAAATATGGTACAATATCTTGACCGGCCCCACTGAAAGCACATTGCCCATCAGCTACTATGTACACATGATTAAACATATTAAATAATTTTGCACTAGGCGTATGAATAGAACATACAATGGTTCGATGACCAGATGCCAACTCTCTGAGCAACGATATGCATTGTGTACTAGACAGGTCATCTAAGCCCCTAAAAAATATTTAAAATTCACTTGTATACTGTAGAATGAATCAACACAAGTAATTAAACTTTAGGTTTGATTAAAGTATAAAAAAAGCTAAAGAATTTAAAGTACTCACGTCGTTGGTTCATCTAAAAATATCACAGGCGGGTTATTGACTAACTCTAAAGCTATAGATAATCTTTTCTTTTCTCCTCCAGATAATTTATCCATGACTGTGTTTTTCGTCTTGGTCAGTCGGAGCATTTCAAGGATTTTTTCTATCTGAAATTTACATATTTATTTTTAAGATGAAAAATTATAAACAATTTTTTTTAATAATTATTATATTACCGCTTCAGCTTTACACTTCTTTGATAATGTATGACCTAATTTTAAGTCAGCAGAAAACTCCATTGACTCCATGACGGTTAAAGATGGTTGCAAAAGATCATCTTGCATGATATAACGACTCATTTTTCTAAATAATCTCATGTCTCTTGGTCTACCATTAACCATAATTGACCCTCTGGTATCACCACATCTAACAACACATATAAGATAAATTATTTAAAATCACTTTTTCAATACCATAACAAATATATCATACTTGTAACCGGCAAGAACATTAAGTAGTGTACTCTTTCCAGCACCAGAGGGACCCATAATAGCTGTCAATTCTCCAGATTTAAAATATCCACTGACGCCTCGAAGAATGATTTTTGATCCTACAATATTACAGAACAAAATAACTCGTTTATAGTTAAAATAAATAACAAAAATTTTATTTATAAAATGTTAATTACATAATTAAACTTATTTTTCAAGCTTACAATTGTGCTATTGAGAAATTTAATAGTATAGACAATTTTTTATTTACAAATAATCAGCTTAAATTAACCTAAGAAAAATAAGTAAAACTTAATAATCAAAGACTGCAATTAAAAAAATGCATGAGCTGGCAATGAAAATAAATAACAACAACATTAATCATAAATAATAATTATTGAAATTTATTTAATTGAAAAAATGTTATTCTCTTACTTGTAAATTTAATTTGAAATCGTGTTTTTAATGTAAAATTTAATCATATTAGCCGTATACTTGTATAATTTATATATAAATTGTATACAATCATGTATGAATGATTAGAACACTTAAGACTACCTAACAATTAGTTATAATAACTATTTTGAGAAGGAAATTGTTTTAGTTATAAATATAAAAAAAATTTATAATTTCAAACAAATAATTGATAGCTCTTATTTACAAAATATAAACTTTTATAGCTGAATTATTATACCGAAACAGTTTTTTCATTTATTCTTCCTGTACATACGTATCAAAAATATCTCTTAGCTTTATATATCAGTTCTATGAATTACAAGAGGAAGATTTTACTTTATGGATATAAAACTCTACAAATGTATTAGATTTGGTTAAGTCATTATTATGATTATTATGATAATGATTTCATATGAGTAAAGCTAAAAAAGCTCTAAATCATCAAATTACTAAAGACACGTTTAAATAAAAACAATACTACTTTAGTAGTTGCCGAAAACAATCTTTGAAAATTTTATTCACAATTTTAAAGTGCATTAACCGTTTTTAAACACTACTTAAGAATTCAGTGAAAGACCATATAAAGACTGAAAATTATTGACAATGAGAAACAATAGATTTGAATAATTTAATGAAAAGCACGCATGACCTTTTACCTTTATTTCCGGTATATAATTATAGTCTTCAATTTTATAATATGAAAAAAGAAGAAGGGAAACATCAAACTATTCCGGTTATGCTTAGAAGGTTAGATAGTTGTATAAATACTTTATATAAAAAAAAAATAAAAGGAAATATAACTTGTTAAGTAAAATTTTACATATAATCTTTAAATATCTGTTTCAAGTGTATTTGCTTTATTTTGTATAAATTTCAACGATTTTAACTATCTAAATATTATATTTCATTAACATAGTTTGAAAAGAAGTCTTTTTTTTTAGTCAGTTGTGCATTAAGTAATTTTTAAAAGATAAAAATATTGAAACTTAAATAACGACATTTTTATAAAAATAAAATTCTATAATTAAATTATCAATTTGATCATTTGAACTAAGCATTTCACATTTATGATTACTAAAGTATGAAATTAGAACGAAATGTTTTGATTGGCTATCAATATTTATGCAATGAAATGTTTATAATCAGCCTATGGGCATCTGATGCAGATCTAGTTAGTTTTAAAAAACAAGATTTTGAAATCCTTACATTTAACACTTACACAGATACATGCTACCGAATAATTACATAAACTCCTGTCAGTAATAAATAAATTAAACGTATGTAAAGTTAAGACTAAAAATTAGTCTTGCCTTTCTTTAATTCAGTAATAATTACTGAATTAAAAAAACAACAACATTTTTTAAAGGCGTGATATAGGGATTAAAACTATTTTTCGATCATTTTAATGAATAATAAAAATAAATGACGTAAATAATAATATTTAAATATTATTTTTTTTTTTTGTTGATATCTGTTAAATGAATTGACAAGTAAATGAAGAATGACAGACATAATTAATTAATGTTTAAATTGCATACGATTTAATAAAATACGATTGTAATGTTGTTGGATGACGTCAGTACATTCAAAAAGCTATTTAAGATTTAAAATAAAAATACATAAATGCATGTGTCAATAAGATTAAAAGTTACTTATAACAAATAACACTTAATAATGGGAAAAATGAAAATTTTGAAACATTGACATCCATAATTATTTATTTATATACCTTTAGAGAAGTAATTTCGTAAAAATATTCATAAAATTTTATTTATAAATGGTCTTTAGTATTTTTCTATTTTTAATTGTATTTTTATTAAAAAATTCTGTATGAAAATAGTTCAAAATTTTTTTAGGAAGCCTACTAACTTAATATACTCTAGGGATGACTAATAATAAATACAATGCTTTTATTCATCAGTTATATTCTATATAACTCTTAATTTATAAAATTAAAATTCGTGTTTATTCTAATGATGTACCATACTTCATAGTTAACTAATACTCTCAAGAAATGATTACATTTCATATTTTGAGATGCCACACTAAATCTATTATTGACTGAATGCTAACCACATGTTTGCTAACCGGTTTGTAAAATCAAAACACCATATTAATTGGCTAACATCTTTTTGCAATACAAGCATTTAGATTAAGGTGGTTAGATATTTTTTGCACAGCTTATATGACTGTCGTGTAGCTAGATTCAACGAACAAACAAGTTTTACATGTTCAGAAAAGAATTTGAGGAATACTATTCCTTTAAGGTCTAGATCAAGGTTATTATAAATTCCTTCTTGAACGTCGTTAAGATAAAAAATTCGCATTTAACAATTTCTGATGTTACCAACCAAACAAGATAAAGTATAAGAAATACAAAGCATAATTCCTACAGTAATTTTGTTATACTATAAACAAACACGGTACGGTAATCACTGAAGACGATTAAAACCATTTTTGTAGTAATAAGTAAAAGTGTACAGTTATTAGCACCTTTAGATATCTAGGTTTTAATCAGTATATATTTGTTTTGTTACATAAGTTGATTTTTTCCCAATAGATTTTATATATAAATAAAAAGTATTATATAAATTCAAATTATGTCATCAGAATTAGCAAAAAATTTCAATACTTTTTTTTTAAAAAATATAGTTATTAGCACTTGAATTTTTCTTTAGGAACTAATGTTATCCAGATCAGATTACTTATTGGCCCTCTTTCATTGAGACCCTTTTTAAATTTATTTATATCTTTCACAATTGAATGAAAATTAAAATGTTTGTAAAAATATAAAGCGGTTAGTCTATCTAATTATTAAACTAATATCAAAACCCATATACACTATTTAAACTGCTCAAAAATTCGGGTTACTTTAAAAAGCAATATTTATAATATTTAAATTAAAAATTGACTTAGGATAATTCACCAATTTCAACAAACAACTCAAACAGTGTAACTATTACACATTATTTTTGGGTAGTTTACGATTCTTAATTTATTCTGCTAAATATTTACTAAATTTGAACATATTATTATTATTACAAATGTAAAGTAAACAATCCAAAGTGGATTTTAAAAACAATTTAAATATTTACATATTTATATTTATATAGTACTAAATATATGTAATATATATATACCACAAGTTAAACGTAAATTATGGAGCACAAATTTCAAGCGAATTTCATTTTTTTTTTTTTTTATTGGGAATTAGTTATTATTCAAAAATGTAGGTAAACTTGAGCATCTCAAAAATGTTTTGACAACTAAACAGATATTATTAAAAATACAATTAGGTACTAAATATTATATTAAATTTTAACGATAATTAGAAGCCTAGAAGTGTCAATTTTTATATTTAAAATTAATCTTTCTTAATGTAAAATTAATTTTACATGATAAAATCAAATTAAGAATGAAAATTTAAACACTCTTACCATTTCGACCTACTGGCACACTGTATGTTAAATCTGTAAATTCAATGTCCACTGGTGGTCGTTTTAATAAATGATAGGAGCTGTCATTATCTGAATCACTACTGTTTTGGCTCATCTTTGTTGCTGTGAAACATTTAATAAATTTCATTAGTCTAGATATTAAATTACATTTTATAATCTGTAGTTTTAATACTAAATTAATTAAATTTATAAATTAAAAAATATTCTTAACCAACTCTATAATAAATAAGCAATAGTCATATTTTATTAAATCATATACAATTTAAACATTAATTAATTATGTCTGTCATTCTTCACTTACTTGTCAATTCATTTAACAGATATCAATAAAAAAAAAATAATAATAATGTTTAAATATTATTATTTGCGTCATTTATTTTTATTATTCATTAAAATGATTGAAAAAAAAGTTTTTAATCGTGTTGCTCAATATAATCAACAAGATCATAAAATGCTGTAAACCTATCCACTAATGCGGCTTTATTACGTTTCACAATTTTTAGAGTAGGTCTTAGGTTAGCTAAAACAAGTAACTGAAATAATTGTAAAATTCATATGCATTTTTCTTCACAATAGAATATATAGTATCTGTATGAACAATAGATAAACGGTTAGTCACTTTACCGCAACATGTAAAATATATTCGCTAAATCATTAACAGTATTCCATTATTATTTATAAATACATAGAAAAGTGTACCACATTTTTTGCGTAAAAAAACATAATTGTTTGAATAAAAAAATTAGTGTAATGGGTTAAAATAAGATAAAAATGTTTTAATTTAATTTAATAGTTTTTTTATCTGCTTTAAACGTGATATTATTAAGTTAAAAACAATTTTTTTTTTATTTTCTGTTAGGAAATCGAATATATGAATCCTGAGGTGTATTTGGAATTTTTAACGAAAAATAAATTTAGTTAAAATAATTTCTATATTTTTTATTTGTTATCACATTTTTTAGAAACTATTATGAGTTACTAGAATGAGCTGAATTTTATAAAAGAGATTTAGGGCAAAAAAACCATTGTCAAAATTGCATTATTCGAATAGTTTCAAAGTTTTTAAATAAAATTTTTTTTTGAGATTCAACTTACTCCAGATAACTATTTTTTTATGTAAATTTTATTTAAAATTTAAGTGCAGAAATATTTTTAACAAGGCCAACTACGGAATCCAATTTTTTTCTGTTCATTTTTTGAAAATGTTCCGGGAGATCTGATAAATCGAAAAATATACTAAATTAAAGCTCTTTAAAATTACTTGATGATTAAAAACTGAAAAATGTCCCAACTATTTGTATTCTAAGAGTATTGATTACTATAATCATAAATGTCTGTTAAGATTTTAACATTTTTTTTTCATGTCTAATACTTTTATGAAGAAATATAAAACTATCAGATATTCCTCTATTCACTATACTTGAGACCGATTGTATTACGTTTTTGTTTACTTTTAAATATCAAAGTAAACATTTTCTTTTCATTATTACAACTTTTACTACGATATAAATACATTTTTATAATCTTAAAATGTCTTAAATTATTCATGAATAAAGCTACTATGTTCAATGATCAATTCCAATGTTATTAACACAAGAGAATATTAAACTTAGGATCATATTTTAGTTAAATATACGACATAATTACAATTATATGTAATTTAAAAAAATTATTTTAAATGATTTAAACAAAACCATATTTAATAAATTTAGATATTTACCGCATGTTTTAATTATAGAGTTTAAAACAAAATGTTTGAAACATTTCAATCCTGGTTATAATTTCAACATAATTTGTTTATGATTTTAACCATTACTTAATTAATAACCATTACTAAATAATTTATTTAATGTTTTTCCCATAATCGTTACAACAAATACAATAATAGTATTTAAAAGGAAACGACAAATTGATAAAAATAAATGTTTTCGTATAAATAAATAAAATATTAATATTTTTATAATGTAATATTATCTTTTTAATTGATATATTTGTATGTTCACATTAATATCAACAATTATTTTAGGGCATTAAGAAATTATACTTGTATAATTAATTAATAGTTTTTATAGTTATGATACCAAATATCCCTCTTTCCAGCAACGAACTAAACCATACGTCCTGAAGTATCCATAATTAAGAAATCTTCACTTCGTAGGAGGCCACTATAGCTTTTAATGGGGTACAAAAGCTTTAATATATATATATATATATATCCTGAATTGAATGTATAAACTGTTTTGTTTGACGACTAAAAATAATTTACTATAATAAAACCCACATACATTTTACACATCTCCTTTTAAGTACATCTATTACTGTTAATCGTCAAGCATTAAAAAATAATGAAGTATTAATCCATAGATCATAAAAAAAATGATAGTAAATATAATTAAATAATATCCTGAACAATGTATTGCTCTAAGTTGTAGTAAAAGTTCTTTAAGTCTGCGATTTTTTTAAACGAACGCGTTTAAGAATTATTCTATATATTCTAATAATTTCTATAACTTTAATTAAGTATTAACGAAATAACTAAATTGTTAATTTATTAAACTACACATATTATAATTAAATATCACTTCAAAGATACATTTTTCTGTCATCAATATTAAAACATACTAGAAAATGTACGCAGAGTTTGAAGATAAACTAGCAATAAAAGTTAAAAGTGAATTTTAACATGATGTAGAAATATTTTTTAAGTCATCAAAGTCTTTTATTTTTGACTTAACCAGAAAAAATAAAAAATATTTTCAGTTATTGTATTTTTTCAACCTATCTCATCTACTTTTTATTACTCCATAAAATTATTTAAGAAATAAAATAGCTTTTTCAAGGATTTTAATAACGTTATTATACAAAAGAAATTCTTAAACGATGAATAATAATATTCTAATTGCGTTTAATTTTCATTTAAAAACATTACGCAAAAAAAATGAAGTGATTTATGTATTGATACTTGTACTGCTTTTGATGCGACGTTAATCAGTAATTGAAGATATTGGTAACGCATCATCTATGCTAAACCCCTTGTTAAGTCAACCGAATCAAAATTCATGAAGCCATAGAAGTTGCCATTTTTTTTAAACAAAGAAAAGTGTTTAGAACCAACTAAACATATAATACAATTATAAATACAACATAGATATAATAAATTCTACTAATTATAGTGGTACATTCTGACAGTAATTAATGGTAGTTATATAAAGTAAAATTCTGAAAGAAGTTTTTTAGTTTAACTCGATAAATATGTTAAACTAAATAATGCGATATTAAACATGCAAAAATAAAAAATTTACTATTTGTATTTCCAACCTATGGAAAACGCATAGAAAAATAAAACATTTAGCGATCAAATGTTTTGACTTGGTGTTGTCTTCATCATTTCTCGTCGCCGATTTAATTTATGAGAACCAAACAATTGCCTTGCGGTTATACAAAGTCTTACACAACTTAAAACTCGTACAAGATGTAAAAGTATGAAATAATATAATAAATACCTTCAAGTTATAAGTAGGCATATTAATAATAACATTAGTATTTCAGAAATAACCTACGAATAAGCTTTATAACATAACTTTTAGTCAATAACTATAATTACTATGCGTAGACTTACGAAGAATTTTCCAAAAAACTTTCTTTTTTTTTTACTAATTATAGCAGTTTATTAGGTGTACTACAATATTTCATGTATGCGCATTACTCTATATTTGAGTATATATGTACAGATTTACATACATACCCTACTCCGATGATTATTATTATTATTATTCGAACCAAGTTCATTTAGTATATTTACTATTTAAATACTTGTCTGGACTGACGGCAAAAATGAATATACTTACAACTTTTTTCGATATGTTCGCATTAGCACAAGGACAGTTTACTGTATTACGGATACTTTTAAATGAAATGTTAATTATTCTGATTTGTACCGTTATCTCGCAAGCGTTTTGCGTAAAACTCTATAATATACACATGCGATTCGTACAGTTTGCGATGCATTGGAATTAGGATAATAATCATATAATTTGAATGTATGGAGAGACGCACGGCACGTATTACTTTCACTATCGCCGAAGCTGCTTTACTCAGCACTACGGCCGCGTATAATATAGTCCACGTTACCCAATCATCTCTTAACGATAGGTTGCAGCGGTAACCTTTCTGATGAATTTGCCATAAAACCAACTCTCCCACAATTTGTTTTCTTTACTCTCTTACCATATCGTCGTCCAAGTACACTAATATAATACATAAATTAACCATTCCGTAATCAGGGGGCACCAAAACATGTGCTTTAATCCTAATATATTTTTTTTTTGTATCATTGTTACAAAAAGATTAAACCAAGTGACTCAATTAAATTTCAGTCAGTAGTATTTTTTCCTCCGAAATTTATGATTCACATATCTTTATATTCATTATACATTTATATTTTGTTTTGATAATTTTAAAATAGTTGGAAATCAATTGATAAATAACACTTGTTGTGTGGACATGATAAAAATATCAACGCTAACTTTGCGTTCAAGTGAACCTAAATGCTTGAAACTAAATGTCATTGTGATAACTCTGATTTTCTAGTTCAACCGGCTTGGTGATTAGTCAAATCGAATTTCATAATAACTGACAATGTTTAGTGATGAATTATGCTATATTTTTTTATACAAAACAAGAATATGAATAAGTTGCGTTATCGGCTATTCGCTCTCATATCACAATGTGTCTGCCAAATCGTGGATGTGTAAAAAATGGGTCAGGTGAATAATTTTAGACGTTTTTATCCTCAAACAACGACGTCTACAATGAGAACATTAAATTTAGAGAGGCATAATGTCAAGCGATATGTGTTCGTTATCTCTGGACGTGTTTATGATAATTGTAATGCACGTTCAACAAAACGCGCGCACATTGAAAATCCATAAAAAAACAACTGTCTATAGATAAGGTACAAATTTTGTTTTGTACTCATTATTTTATATAGGTCAGAGAACAAAGGCACTTGCTATTTGAACTCATAAGGAAAGTGATTTTTGAACCGAATAACTCTTATAATATAATAATACTATGAACGGTATTCCAGTAGTGTATTCAAC